AAAAATCCAAAACCCATCAGTGTGCTGTATCCAGGAAACCCATCTCACATGCAAGGATACACAAAGGCTCAAAATAAGGGGATAAAGGAAGATTTACCAAGCAAATGGAGAGCAAAAAAAAGCAGGAGTTGCAATTCTCATCTCTGATAAAATAGACTTTAAAGAATGGCGATCATTAAAAAATCTGGAGACAACAGATGCTGGAGAGGATGTGGAGAAAAAGGAACACTCTTACACTGTTGGTGGGAGTGTAAATTAGTTCAACCATTGTGGAAGACAGTGTGGCGATTCCTCAAGGCCTTAGAAATAGAAATTCCATTTGACCCAGCAATCCCATTACTGGGTATATATCCAAAAGACTATAAATCATTCTACTATAAGGACACATGTACACGAATGTTCATTGCAGCACTGTTTACAATAGCAAAGACCTGGAATCAACCCAAATGCCCATTGATAATAGACTGGATTGGAAAAATGTGGCACATATACACCATGGAATATTATGCAGCAATCAGAAATGATAAGTTTGTGTCATTTGTAGGGACATGGATGAATCTGGAGAACGTCATCCTCAGCAAACTGACACAAGAACAGAAAATGAAACACCGCATATTCTCACTCATAGGTGGGTGATGAAAAATGAGAACACATGGACACAGAAAGGGGAGTACTAAACACTGGGGTCTATTGGGGGGAAAAGGGGAGGGCCAGTGGGAGGGGGAGGTGGGGAGGGATAGCCTGGGGAGAAATGCCAAATGTGGGTGAAGGGGAGAAGGAAAGAAAAGCACATTGCCATGTGTGTTCCTACGCAACTGTCTTGCATGCTCTGCTCATGTACCCCAAAACCTAAAATCCAATAAAAAATTAAAAAAAAAAAAAAAAAACGTTACCATATTCAGCTTTCTGATTGAAATAAACATATACAAAAGGTGTTTTAATATGACTTCAACTTTTTAATTAATAAAACCCTGAGGGGTCTATTAATTCACTCATTGCAACATTAGTTATTTACTAGTGTAATTTCTATTAGCGCTAATATATTTGCTTGAATAAAAATGAGATAATTAATACCATTAAAATTAGTAATAGCTTTTGGAACTATATTAAAGTATACTTTGGATTTCTACTAAAAATAGGCTTAAATCTGACTTTAAAACTTTGCAATCAGATTATGAGTATATTTATCACCATAATCATCCTAATGTATTAGGATGTATTACTTTAATGTATTACTAATACATTAAAAAACATGTAATCTTATATCATGTATATCTTAGTTCACAAATACAATTTTGGCTTACAACATTATCTTTTTTGAAGCATTGTCAAAATTAGTTTTATTTCTAGTCTTTTAAAGTAAGCTATTAGAACAACAAAAATTTAATGTAAAAATTATTATTCTATAAATGATACTAATATCATTCCTAAAATAATCACCAATCAACAATATAAATCACAAATATAACTAATGTACCTCTCTTTACTAAAAATGCTATTAGATGTATTCCTTTTAAGCAGATCAATAAAGCTTTTCCTATAATGATATACTGTTCACAAAATTATTCAAACTTGAATATTTTTTGGAGAGTTTTCAAATATCTGCAGGAATTGAAGTTAAAATTGATACAAATCTTGTAAAATAAATATTAATTCTTATTGGCTTTTATTTGTACTTAAATGTTCATAAATACAATTTGAAATTAAGTCTCTTAAAACAATGAAATTAATGTGTAAACAACTAAGTAAGGAATATTTCAAAATCTGCAGCTTAATTTCTCCCCAATAGCCAAGACATGCTGTAAAAATTACTAACAACACTAGACTGAAGTATGTGATTTCCATTTCTCCACCACATATGCAGTTTGCCTTGGGAACAAAGGTGCTGCCATAGGTTCAAACGGTTGTCTTTTCATCTCTAGTTACCAGTGATCAAATGTTAAGATCACTGTGATGAAGTTTACCAACCTGCTAGATCCAAATTAAAATCCCTGATATTTTTGCAATATTCCTCTCTGAGGGAAGCGATTTGAGAATATAATTTCACCTGTAATGTCCTCACGGCTGTGAAGCCAAGTGTAAAATGGAGGTGATGACACCAGTATAGAGACTTGTAACTAATTTTTATTAATAACTGAAGGAAAGCCAAAGAAGAAAAGGAGAAAATGAATGCTTCCAATTGGTAACACTAATAGAAGAAAATTAAAGTAGAAAACCTTAGTTTATCTTGGCAGGTTAAATTCTAATAATATAATTCTTACCATTACTGAATGCCCTCTAAGGGTCTGGCACTATTTTAAATACATTACATTTAATCCTCATAACATTCTTCCAGGGTGGTTTCATTATCCCACAAATGCAGAGGGAAGCAGAGGCTCAGAAACTGATGGCAATTTCCTGACATGGGTTTTTCAACTGTGCCTCAGAAATAATTATTTTATTAGATGCCAAGGAGTTTTGGAGACTAGGGATCGCTAAAGTAAAGTTTACATACACTGATATTATCAGCAGCCTATGTGATATAAAGAAGAAGACAAACGCATTGGCAGCTTGTGTTTGTTAACACAGACATCTTAAAACACAGTGGTAATATCTGAAAATCCATTAAGGTCTATGATTCAAGTGTTTTGGCGAGGTTTGTGAAATTTTTTGTTGGACCAGGTGCTTAACTCTAAAATTGAAATGGGCTGGACATGGTGGTTCACGCCTGTAATCCCGGCACTTTGGGAGGCTGAGGCGGGTGGATCACGAGGTCAAGAGATCGAGACCATCCTGGTCAACATTGTGAAACCCCGTCTCTACTAAAAATAGAAAAAATTAGCTGGGCCCGGTGGCGCGTGCCTATAATCCCAGCTACTCAGGAGACTGAGGCAGGAGAATTGCCTGAACCCAGGAGGCGGAGGTTGCGGTAAGCCGAGATGGAGCCATTGCACTCCAGCCTGGGTAACAAGAGTGAAACTCTGACTCAAAAAAAAAAAAAAAAAGAAATTGAAATGAAATCAAATTAGTTAAAAAAAATACATAGAAAGTCTCTATAATACTGTTTGGCACATGGAAAGCACTCCATAGATATTTGCTATCAGATTATTTTATTAGTAAAAAACCAGTCTTCATGGACTTTCTAAATCATTTCACTAGATCCTCAGTATCTCAACAACGTTGAATTAAACAGAATTAACAAGTGTTCAGTTAAATCTGATTTTACTATTTTAGGTCAGGCACGGTGGCTCATATCTGCAGTCTCAGCACTTTGGGAGGCTAAGGAGGGGGGGATAATTTGAGGTCAGGAGTTCGAGATTAGCCTGACCCACATGATGAAACCCCGTCTCAATTAAAATACAAAAATTAGCCCAGCATGGTGGCAGGCAACTGTAATCTCAGGCTAAGGCAGGAGAATCGCTTGAACTCAGGAGGTGTAGGTTGCACTGAGCAAAGATCACACCACTGTACTCCCTTCTGGGCAACAGAGTGAGACTCCTTCTCACTCCCTCTTCAAAAAAGGGAAAAAAAAATTTAACTGTTTTAAAAATCATTTTCTGCATTATAATACTTAGTATACAGAGCACAACTAGAACTCATATTAAGAAAGATTCAGAGTATAAAGACAGTCCAGAGTTACTAAAATTAACACCTGTATTGTAAAAAATAAAATATTATCAGATTTAAAGAAATAAGGCTATTAATAGTACTCTTAGTTTAATGAAAGTTGAAATTACTAATAATTAAAATTAAAACAGTTCTGCTAAAAGGAATTTTTGGTTTGAAATTTTATATAAAAATGTAGCACTTCAATTACACAACTAAAATTTTTACTATTATAGATTTTACAATTAAAAGTTAAAATATTTTGAGTTTTCATTTTAAAAAGTATCTTTAAATGATCGCCTGAGTATTTGAAGTCTAGAGGCCTCAGATTGAGTGCCATATCTATTTCTACTGGCTTTGTGTCTCTAACTCAGCCACTCACAGCTCTGAGCTTGTTTCCTTGCCTGTTAAATGAAGATGACTCAGCTCTAGAAATCCAAGTAAATATGAAGATAGTCACCATGATTAAAACGTATTGGTATTTAGACTACCAAGTAGAGGCTAGAGATGCGGAAGATCTATGTTCCAAATGTAGATGTCTGGCCTAGGATTTAATGTTTTTTTAATTTAAATGCATCTAAGGATGACATTCACTTGTAGGGCTCACCCTTCACCACTGGGATTGACTTGCTCCTGCCTGGAGATATTCGACTATGTGCCTCTGGCCAGAACTACGACACTGAACTTGAAGGTCTATGAGAAAAAAGTAAAACCCAGAAATTGCCAGTTTCCTGACTAGATCCCTAGTAACAAAACACACCTCAACCCAAATTCACGCTTTCCTTAAATCATATTTCTTTCTGAAACTATTCCCCATATGCCATTATTCCTTCCTAGTAACCAGGACAAAACTCAGCAAGCATTGTAAAATATTTTAGCAAGCATTGTAAAATAAATGTCTAAGTGTTCCAAATTTCATGCTTACATTTCTATAAGGAGATGTAATTGCTGAAGCAATTTTGTTAAAAGCTTTACTTGAAAATTTCCATCAAAATTTAGAAACGGTCAAAAAATGGTTTTAATCTCAACATTAGCTCAATAAAAAGAGAAAACATGAAAGCCACCTCAGCCTAATAACTTGTTAGTTCTTGATCAATTCACACCACAACAAAGAGCCACTCAGAATGAGTTTTGAAAGCGAGGTTATGCCCTTCGTGTTGTGTTATCACCGTGGCAGATCACACTGTTGACTTGGACCTTTCTGCCAGCGTCGCAGCAACTGCCTCTATGAAGCCGCTGTCACAGACGAGTCATGGTCCCTGCCCGCACCTACACAGAAGCACGAAATTGAACTCGAAGTAGTGTCTTTGTAATATCTTTTCAACAAGTCATGTCCCATTCAGCCTGCTAGTTTATCTCTGTCAGGCGAGGGGCCCAAGTGGCTTACAGGAGCTGTCAGGGACAGTTAGACCAACCTGCTTTGTGCTGAGGAGGTAATGCATCTTTCGAGCTTGGTAATCTCTTTTCTCCTCTTCCCTATCGAGGTTAGCCTTCTTCTCTTCTCTTTCTTTCATTTCTGCAAACTCCTCCAGTGCCTTCCTGCATCAAAACAATCTGCAGTTATGAGGGGCAACCATCATCCGTATCCATCCAAATCAGTAGTGTCATCCATCTATCTCACCTGCATTTTCTACATTAATCTTTGCAATATTTAGAAAGCATTTGTGATTTTTTTCTGTGATTACGTTTTTCAAATCAAATGAGTTTATTTATAATTAATTCAAAGCTGAGAAAATACTTATATCAAATGCAATACAAGTGTCTTACTAAATTATCCGGGTTTTCTGCTTGAAGGTTAACTTTTTCGGACATACTTAAACATCCCAAGAAAGCCTTTGAACTACTGTTTTCCTTTATATTTTGGATTTGTATTTTCAAATCTCTAATCATTTATTTTGTATACTAATGGCCTAATTTTTAAAATGTGACAGGTTTTATACAATGCTTAATTTATTATAGGCTTACTTCAGTTGACAGTTCAAATAATCCTGGTAAGATTATATCTATTATTCTGCACTTTAAAGGTTGACATTTTGTCCAATTGTATAGATAATTTGAATAAAAACTAAATGAGGTGAGAAAGTGCAAGTCTTTTCAGAGTATAATAAATTCTATTAAAATAATAAAACTTTTCATCATTTATTTATGTGTATCTAAGAAATATAAACAAAAAATAAGCTTTAAGTATACTGTGTGAAAACACCTGCTAAGCAGTTTATGATATTATCAAATATAGAAAAAATAAATCCTTCATTTTCAAGGAAAAATTTGACAATTTGTGTTAAAAGAATATTTTGAAGTTGTACTATACTTTTTCAAAAAGCAGATATAAAACTTAGTGTCTAGTTCTGTAAGTAAGTTTTAAACAAATCATCTGAGCATTTTTCTCAAAGGTATCTAAGGAAAGTAAAGGAAAACCTTTCAAAAATAAAAAAGATTCTCCTTTCTATTTCAATGTCTAGAAATATTTCTGTTGCAATTTTCTGTTAAAGGCGACTAATACAAACTTCATGCAAGGTTACTTATGAAACACACTGACGTTTAAAAATCACCAAGCTATGATACTGAAGCAGAGCAATTTTTTCAACATAAGATTAAATTGCAAAATAAATGAATTACTTGGAGTGGCATGGCCCCCATTTTGCCACCCTTCTCTTGAAAATTGCTTATTAATATAAAAAAAGGAGTCAGATAATAGCCTGTTTTACTTTATACATAGTATTTTTGGGGGTTTCTGCACCCACAGAGCCAGGCTAGCTGCACATTTAGATTGTGTTGGCAAGCTGGTACAATGACCTCTCTGACCTGCATCTCAAGGCTATTATTAATCGCTAAGTAACCTGGTAAAACCAAACAAATTTGTTTCCATTGAAAGGATCTCTATCTGTGTCTGAGAATTTGTTCTGTACCAAACAAACCTCATTAACTGTGTCCATTTTTGACAAAGAACCAGGAGTTAGAGGGATTGGTGACCTTTCTTTGTCCTTAAGGTACAAATTTCAAGGCAGTTACACATGAATAAATGAGAATTTTTGCTAGGACAAATAACAATCATATGTTACACTGAAAAGTGAATACATTATTACTTTTAATCTTTATATTGCTATTATGAACAAAATAAAAATTAACCAGAGAACTCCCACTATAAAGATACTCAGAAATACATGTCTCCAATTTATATTACTCTAAATATAACTACAGTCATTTTCTAAGTAATCATAAACATTAAAATACATCTATAAAGAAGTTTTTGCTCTATAAATAATTTAATAAATATGAAAAAAAATCTTATATAAGAAGAAAGGCCTAATAGAATTGAAAACATATACAAATGAATAAGGTACAAAGATGTGCACAGAACTTGGATATAAACTCAAAAGTTTAAGTTATTTGAAGTAGTAAATAGAGTCCATCTTCAGAATATGGAAATGTATACAATGGAGTAGTTAAGAGCATAGACTGTTTTGTTCACAGGCATGGCAAAGTGAACTAAAACTGTGGGATAATAGAAAAGAATGTTACTTTCCAGTGTATAAAGAAAACACTTAGGAAACATTAAAAGCACAAATCTGGTGTAATTTCAAATATAAAAGTAGTTAATTTAATAAGTTCATCCAATTAATGAAAAAAAATCAATTCTTAGGTTCCAAATTGATTTCTTGCAATATTCGAGAGTGTGTAGATATATTGAACAAGACAGTAATATTTATGTCAAACATTCTTTGTTAAAAGATGAAGTAGGAATTACTGAATAAATTATTTATTCTTGAAATATGTTTTTGTTATATCAGTAGGATGAAGATATTGCTCAGTGTGCAGGATGCAATAAAAATTATGATCTCATTAAAAATAAAAGGATGGAAATCATTCTAACTAGGATTCCTGACAAAATTATAAAAATTACCTATATTTTTATCTGGAGATTTTTAAAGTGCAGTACTTCTAAGACACTTAAATAGGTTATTTCCTTTTCTTATATTTCAGATGTTTTTTCTCATTTCTAATCTCAAAAAAAATCCTATGATATATATGGTATAGCTTTTACTAATTACTCTATTTTACAAATATGGAAACAAGTAAAGAAATAAAATGGCTTACTGTGATTGACAAATAAGTTAATGACAGAAATGAAATTAGAATCTCTGTGTTTGCAGATTTTCTAACTCCAGCCCAGGCTGTCATCTTGCTGGTACAAGAAGTATTATGCCAAATATATTTTTATTGAATTATCCATGCATATTTTCTTTTTCCTTATGATCCTGTCTTCTACCATATAAAGAAAATTGAGGCTGGGCGTGGTGGCTCACGCCTGTAATCCCAACACTTTGGGAGGCCAATTCGGGTGGATCATGACAGCAAGAGATCAAGACCATCCTGGCCAACATTGTGAAACCTTGTCTCTACTAAAAATAAAAATAGGTTGCTGGGTGTGGTGGCACCTGCCTGTAGTCCCAGCTACTCAGGAGGCTGAGGCAGAAGAATCACTTGAACCCAGGAGGCCGATTGCAGTGAGCTGAGATCAGGCCACTACACTCCAGCCTGGTGAGAGACAGTGAGACTGCCTCCAAAAAAAAAAAAAAAAAAAAAAAACTTGATTAAATTCCAAGACTTTGCCTTATTACCATATCTATAAACATTTTCTGATATAAGTTTTAAGATAAAGATTAAAAATTACTAGATAAAAATTACTGAAACTTTTGCAAAGCTTTACATATTTGAATGTATTTTGCTAATGATATTTACAGGGATAATAAAATATTTACATATTCTAATAATGATAGCAATAGTAATAGCCATTGAGAGGCGATATAGTGGAATGGCTAAGTGCATAGACTCAGTTTTGTTTTGTTTTGTTTTGTTCGAGATGGAGTCTTGTTCAGTCACCAAGGCAGGAGTGTAGTGGCACAATCTCAGCTCACTGCAACCTCCACCTTCTGAGTTCAAGCAATTTTCCTGCCTCAGCCTCCCAAGTAGCTGGGGTTATAGGCATGTGTCACCACACCCAGCTAACTTTTATATTTTTAGTAGAGATGGTGTTTTGACATGTCAGCCAGGTTGGTCTCAAACTTCTGACCTCAGGTGATTCTCCCACCTCTGCCTCTGAAAGTGCTGGGATTACAGGCATAAGACACTACACCTAGCCAAGAACATAGACTCTGAAATGACACCTGGTTATCACAGCTCTGCTGTGCTGCTTACTAGCTGTTTACCCTTTGAGCTACAATATCCTCATTTGTAAAATGTAAATATATTAGTACTAGTATCATTCCCATTAAATTATTGTGAGGATGAGATAAGTTAATCAATGTAAAGTACTCAAAATAGTGGCTGGTACACAGTAAGGTGCTATGTAGTGTTAGCCATTTGAGCATTAATTACTTGAGCCAAGTATTAGGCTACATGCTTTATCTACTCAACTGGATATGCTTTCTATAATTCCCTTGGTGGTCTTCTCCTTTCTCTCTCTCACTGAGAGTGCACTCTGTGAATGGAATTCCACAATGTAGAGCATGGAATATGTCTTCCTAACAGGCATGAGGTAAACTCTAATCACTGAAAAATAGGAGACAGAAAAGAACCATGCAAATAAATTTCTCCTTTCTCTGTCCTCCACCTACTGCTCTGAGAGGTGATTTTTCCTTGCAAACCTGAAGAAAACCTTTGTGGCTAAAGACAATAAGCATGGCTGGGTACAGCGGCTCATGCCTATAATCCGAGCACTTTGGGAAGCCGAGGTGGGAAGATCACTTGAGGTCACGAGTTCAAGATCAGCCTGGCCCATATAGTGAAACCCCGTCTCTACTAAAAATACAAAAGATTACCCAAGCGTGGTCGTGGGCACCTGTAATTTCAGCTACTCAGGAGGCTAAGCTAGGAGAATCACTTGAACCTGGCAGGCAGATGTTGCAGTGAGCCAAGATTGCACCACTGCACTCCAGCCTGGGAGACAGTGTGAGACTCTGTCTAAATATAGATATATATCTGCTGCGCTATGTCACATCACTATGTGGCTATCTGTGAAGCAGTGGCCAGGACTGCAGGAGTTCATCATGTCTCATTCCTCCCTACAGAAACAAACCCAAAGCCCAGCTGCCAGGAATGCTGGTGGCTGACTGTTCATAACTATATCTCACTGGAGATAATCAGCTGCCCTGCCCCAGGTTTTGTTATCCCACCCCTAGCTTGGATTCAATCAATAACGGGGATTGACAGAGTACATAGGCCCAGAGCCTTTGTCTCAGTTTGAAACCAATATAAAGGGCCATCCAAATCCCAGAGCTAAGACCTCCTGATGCAATTCAAGTTTCCCCTCAACCTTCCTCCTCCCTTCCCTTAAAGGGAGGGGGAATGCTCCCCAATATGCTCCCCAATAAATCTCCCTAAAATGCTCCCCAATAAATCTCATGTACCAAATCACTGTCTCAGAGTTGTTTCCATCTATGGCATTTCCTCCATGACCCCCTTTTTCTAACCCTCACTCATCTGGTATTGAGCCATCCAGAGTATGAGCACTTTAATCCTCAATTTTCATTCTGCTT